ATCCGGCTTTTTATGTGAGTTCCAGGACTGAAATCCAGGTCACCAGGCTTGTGTGGTGAGTCTGCTGAGCCACCCCCAGGTCTCAGACCAGGTCTATTTTTATCGGACTCCTGGAGAAAGAGTTCAGTTCACCTCGGCCGCTGCCGGAGTACAGGACATCACGAGCCTCCCCTTTGGAGACTCTGTTGGCAGCATTTAATGAATGTGCTAGTGGGCACCCTGTAGCCCAGCACTTCCCGTCCTGGGTTTCCAGTCTAGAAAGATGTTCTCAAAGGGGACTGTACAAGGAAGTGCATTGCTGCCTTGTTTATAAAACCAAGCAATTTAAACAATCCAGATAGCTGTCCGTGGTGAAGAAATGGGATCATTTAAGCATTAGAATGCAAAATAGCATACACAAAAGTATAAACTAGGTTTTTTTTTTTTTAAGTTCCGGGGATGGAGCCAGAGTTATGTAGGTAGGTGTTAGGAAAGTTCTATACCATTGGTCTGCATCCCCAGCTCACAAAACATGGACTACATAGCCTAAAATTATAATCTGAATGAAGAAAGTGAGTTATAAAATGATGATCTCAACATTCTGGCATAAGAGCTATGTCATGTACAGTCCAGGGCTACATATGCAATCACGGTTTTAAACAATAGGTTGAAGGTGTTATGGTCTGTCCTGTCCCTTTAAGAGACAAGCCCCGCCCACTCCCCCCAGGCTTCCTTCTGCTTCCAGTCTAAGCTCCTTCTTTTCCATCTCTCTCCCAAAGAGGAAGCTTCTGCCTCTCTCCCTTCTCCCCACTTCTCCCCTTCCCTCCTCTCTCTGTTTCTCTCTCTCTCTGCCTCTCTCTCTGCTCTTCTCCCTTCTCCCCTTCCCCTTTCCCCCCTCATAACCCACTAAATAAACGCCCACTTTCTCTGCATAGTGTGCCTAATAGGTCTCTATCTCCCACCCACCACTACCTTCCTGGGACCGGCTGCCTTTGTGGCCCGTGGTGGTCTCATAGCCTGCTGCCCACTGCCACCACTCGGGAACCTGCAGCATTTTACCATAACAGAAGGAACATGGTTCTTTTTGTTTTTGTTTTTGTTTTTGTTTTGTTTTGTTTTGTTTTGTTTTTCTTTTGGTTTTTCGAGACAGAGTTTCTCTGTAGCTCTGGAGCCTGTCCTAGAACTCGCTCTACATCTCAGAGATGGCCTTGAACTCACAGAGATCTGCCTGTCTGCCTCCCGAGTGCTGGGGTTAAAGGTGTGCGCCACCACCACCCCGCGCCTGTCATGCCAGAAATCAGACACTGAGGCAGGAGAATAGCGTTCCAGATCAGCCTGGCCTGTACAATGAGAACTGGCTGCAATACGGTGTTTGTTTAAACACATGGGAACTGTTTCCTTAGTTCCAATTAATAATAATAAAAAAACCCTTGAAATCTTAAAGTATAAATATCACAACTGAGCAGAAGGATAGATGGGATATAAGGGCATTTCCATATACAAAATAAATAATTTTTCTAGGGTAAACAGAAACAGTAAAAGGCCTTTGAAGTTGACTCTCTCTCTCTCTCTCTCTCTCTCTCTCTCTCTCTCGCTGTATGTGTATGTGTTGTCTTGCGTGTGTTGGGTGGGAAGGATATTGCGTTTAAAAACAGTTGATCAAGACACTTCAGGAATATCCTTTTGCAGGCAACAGGAGTTAACTATTGTCAAGTCTTTTGAAGTTGAACATCTAGCCCACAGTCTTAAACCTGTAATGCTTTCTTTGACACAGTGGTGAAATCTATATCCTCCAGACTCTAGGTGGAAACACATGTACAGAAGGGCAGTTTCCAGGGGGTTGTAAGCCCAAGGTTAAATCCCCACTATTACATGTGACTGGCCAGATTTTCAGATCCACAAGGCAGAAATCCATGAATGAGAGCTGGAGGGTAGCTCGGGGTTAGAGAACTCTCTCTTTTTCATGTGTGTGGTGTGTGTATAACAGCAGCTGAACCATGAAACAGCTACTCATGGCTTAAGGGCCCTCCAGTTGCATCGTGCACTGTCGTATAAATAAGTAAGGTCATTCTGGGAAACCAAAGCCATGGGAAGCTGAACTTGCCAGCATAAATGCTGACATCCTTGTCTCCAAAATCAGCCTCTTTCAGCACAAAGCTGGAAGTGAACAGCAAGATCCATAGATTGCACCGTCTGTTCTCCTGCAGGGACCATGTGACAGGCAGGCTGTGGCTGAAAAAAATCCAGCTTGCACTTTGGGGTCAGCCTTTGTTGCCCCTCCATCACCAGAGGCCTTAGGAATGCACTCAGCATCTCTAACACAGTCAGGGCCTTCCCAACCCTGGTGCTCCCAGTCTTTCCTATTAACTTCAGTCTAAAGATAAGATGGCTTTTTACACTAAAGTTCTTACACACACACACACACACACACACACACACACACACACACACACACTTTGGAACGTGAAACTTTTGAATGTGATACCTAGCAAAAGAAGGAAAACGGAGGAAATTTAAGTAAGGACTAATTCTGAAAATTTGTGGGGCTGCTACATCTTTTGCAGTCACTGCCAAGGTCTTTAGAGTCGTGACAAACTGCATCCCAGAGTGCCAAGTGACCCAGACCCAAGCAAACGCACTGAACATGTAGAAGAAATGTAATCACTCCAGTGACCCAAAGTCAGATGTGGCCTTGAATATTTTATACGAAAGCATTTACAAAAAGTATGATTTGACAATAAATCTCAGGATAGCCCTCACTAAGGTCACTTGCTGAGAGACAGTTGAAAGAGCTATCTAGTTCCCAAATTATCTTCAAATCATGGGGGAATCAAACCTACCAAGACTCACTTTATAAAACTGTTCTAAAATTTTGCCATGAGGAATGGGCTGGAGCTTAGCTATAACCACAGGACCCGACCGTGCACCAGGTTAACCCTGCAGCTCCTTACAATTCTGTCTTCATTCCTTGTCTGCAGACAGGGGTCCACCCCAGCTCTCCTGGAAGCTTCTGATGAGTCTTTATTCAGAAGCCTAGCTTGGGAATGCACACAGGTGCCATGGGCTTGAGAACCACCACCACCTCCATCACCACCTCCACTTCCACCACCACCACCACTACCATCACCTCCACTTCCACCACCACCACCACCACCTCCACCACCACCACCACCACCACCACCACCTCCACCACCACCACCTCCACCACCACCACCACCTCCACCACCACCACCACCACCACCACCACCACCACTACCACCACCTCCACCACCACCACCACCACCTCCACCACCACC